AAATTGATGCATGGCCAGTAGACCACGTCACTCCCAAAGTCAGGAGTCCGTCGTAATAGCAAACGCTAACATAAAGGGTATGCTGATTTCATGGACTCACACTGGTCGGAGGGATTAAGATTTGTGTAATTCTAGATGTCATGCTCACTTGTCATGTGCAAACAAATAGGTTATTTGATCTATTATGCTTGACTTTTGTTTCCAAAATATGATATTATATATGCAACTTTTTGTCATGATTTATGTTTGAAAATAAATTGTAAAAGCATTACAATTTATTTTTGCTTTTAACGAATTTTAATTTGCACCAGAAGTCCGTATCTAAGTGGCATAAAGCTGTTTATCTAAATTTGCTCAAGGTGTCATGTTAGCTTTTGTTACTGCTTTGCGTCCGTCGTTCGTCTGTAAACTTCTAACATTTCAAAACCAATACTAATAAACACTTGAAATAAAGAAACCAAAAACAAACACAAAATGAATTTTAAAAATACATACGCTGAGTGATGTCTGGTAAGAAAAAAATAAACAAACAAAAGAAAAGAAAAACACAACAAAATGCCAAAATAATTCCAGACTAACAAACCCAAAGAGGGGAGTTTTTTAATAAGAAGAAACAAATATAACTAAAAGATAGTGAGTTGTACAAGTTATTATCTTTTTCTCAACAAAAATTGTACAAGTAATTACCAGTACAATTATATTTGGACAAGTAATAACTTGTAAGATGGCATCATACAAGTAATTACTTGTACAAAGTTTTTGTACAAGTAATAACCTGTACAAAATAATAAAATGTACACAACATATTCAAACGAATGCTTCAGCTGAGTAATCATGGGAGACAAGTTAGGGTTGGATAGTTCGGGATGTTACGTCTTTTTCTCACAACACGACGGGTGCCACATGTAAAGCAGGAATGTGAATCACCTCTTTCATTTTCAGTAGAACCAAACAATTTTTCCATTTCCCCCTAAAAAAATATATGTTTAATTCAATTCTACGTAATGTTAATATACATTACGTGTCTATGTACATGTTTGTTCCTGTGTGAATAATAACTATCATATTCAGATAATAACCGATGTAAATCTATGTTTTTGACATGAAACTAAATGTAATCAAGTTGACAGTACGCGATGTTTGTTGTTAGCACAGCTTATGTTTGGTGTTGAGGCTATTCAACTTGATCTTGACATTGTTTTTACTTAATTTGTAGGCGTTTGAGGTAATGTGGATGTGATGCTATTTTATCTCTATGGTTATTCTATTCAAATAGAAAGATCAACTTTTAAAGTAACTATTTACTTACCTTCAGAATTGTTTGAATTGTCCTTCTGGTAATTTATACCATCAACATTGACTGCAAATATTGTTAAACTGTTTGTCTATGTGTGTTAAGAGTGTAATCGGACCTGTATGCATAATTCTCCTGTGATAAAAATTGAACTGATTCCAGGACATGTAAGATTAAATGTAATATTGATGCGTCCTCTCGTCTAAAATAAGTTATGTGACCTTCAATTCTTATTTTCAGTTAAATAATCAGTATACGTTTTCTCTGTACTTACACATTGTGATTTATACATTGTCCTTCAAATAACTAAGAGAGCACCTACATATATACTTTAAAGAGTACTTGGACCAATAAAAAATATAAACATAATAGTAAAACGAAACGACAGAAAGTCAAACTTTCATATTTTATGTCTACTTACTTGTATACGAACAGGACACTAAATCAGGACACTTAAAATAGTATTGGTAGATTGATACAGTGTGTACTAAGTGACTAACCTTGACCTAGCGAACGGTATTTAAACTCTTTAAACTATGAGCTCGTTTGATGGGCGGGATATACACAGCTACATCCAGTTAGAATGCATACATTAACTATAGGACTCGTTAATTGGTTCGTTAATGAACGCTGAAATGTTATATGATTGCCTTTACCAAACAAATTATAATTAAAAGTCTAAATTGCAAATAACATTTTCCAGTTAACTCTGGATATTATTTTCTTTCTTTTAAAAGTAATCATCAACATGTTGTAATTTAAACATGTAATTAGCAGAAATTATTACCCTTATTTTCATAATTTGATATTTTTTGTGATAATTTTCGGGAAACATTTATTATAGCAATTAATTAATCATCTGAATGTAATTGGTGCTGAATAGAACATTCTGATATTCATTTATATTAAATTTGAGTGAAATATCCTGTTGCTGATCATGACAGGTTAAATTTGAATGAAATATCCTGTTGCTGATCAAGACAGGTTAAATTTGACTTGTTACTTCCTCTGTGTCGTAGGTTGATTTTGATTAGATACACAAATGAATTGGAAAGCAAGAGCTGTTGATTCGATATTCCAGAGCTTGTATTTTCTATCATGATTTCCATGATAGACATGATAGAGGGTTTCTGCTCACAGAGAAGCTATAAAACCAAGAGTGTCAAGTGGTGAAGTTGAAATCATTTCTTCATAAATTTAACGGACGAAATCATGAGTTGGTTGCCTTTTATGGAGTATTAGTTTTACAGATGACAACGGCTATGTTCCAATTGTAGTAAATTCAATCACGACCCTTTTCCCAAATTTGAACTACCGAAAAAGATATACCACCGGGTCACTAACATGAGCAACATGTGGAGCAGAATAAGTTTAGCTTACCTTTCCGGATCATCTGCGATCTGGGGTACGTGTTGCTCAATCTTTTGTTTTCTTAATTATGTTGTGTACAGTTGTTTATAAAAAGAAGCTGTGGTAATTATGACAATGAGACCACTGTCAAAAATAGACCAAATGACACAGAAATTAACAACTATAGGTCATCCATCCAATACGGTCTTCAACAATGACAAAAGTTCATATCGCATAGTCAGTTATAAAAGGCCCCGAAAGTATGCTTTGTCTTTTTTAGCCATTGCGTGATCAGTTTATTTTCGACTTGTGAGTTTGAATGTTCCTCGCCTTTCTTTTTTTGATTTAATGCTGGACTGTAGCCGGATGTTTTATGTTGTTTATTGCGGGTCATGAAGCACTAACTGTAAAAATCTAAGCAAGTCAGAATCTTGTTCTGAATTGATTTTCATATTTTTCTATTGTTTTCTGTCGAACTATCTTAATAAGAACACATAGCCAGTGCGTGGCATATTTGTTACGGGTCTCGTGTTTTTATGGTTCTCTGAATCAGCCGATCTCTACGTACTTCGGCGACGTTGCGTAATAATGTCATTGTACGGATAGACATATTTTATAAATCCAAAGGCTGCCTATATTGCATTATCGTCCTTACTTGATTACGTGATTTATACCGCTCTTGTGCCGCTGTGACATTATAGTGAACTGCATGATATCGTAAAACATGTATTTACTTTCATTAAATTATATTAGCCGGTTTATACTTGATTAGATCTTAAACACGACATCTAACTTTTCTTTGCCCACAAAGAACAAGAATGCACTAAAAGGCTTGTAAATTGAAATTATTCCTTTTTTGGAATATGACATTAGATAAAAAAAAAACATCATTGGTGCGTACATAAATAAAAACAATCCAAACGTATACAATTTACAACACTTTATAAATGATGTTGGGAACTGTATTTTAAAGTGTTGGGAGATTATCATTAGAAAAATTTGGATAACAGCCGGTTGTAAAAATGATTAGAATTAGACTGCATTTAAACAAATAACCCGAATAACCCAGACTGATATTTGGAGTCACTATTTATCACTTTATTAAAATCAAGAGGACACTGACTTATAGAAGGCGATGCATCATTCGAGTTATAAAACAACACTAACAATTTTCTTATCACTATGATAACTGTTAGCGGTTTATTTCCTAATTAAAGTGAATAAACGTTATAAAACATTTTAAAAAATATTGCATTAGAAGAATGTCCCATCGAATTAACTAATTTTTAACACGAAATCATGCAAAATCATATTTTTTACTCAATTTGATAGAACTGTAGAATTTTAAATATGTGCATCCTTTATTATGATTATCATGATAATAGAATATAATGCCTTCAAAAACAGCATTTTCCTTCTTCTACAGTTGTCGTCCATTCGTTTGATGTGTTTCAACTTTCAAAGATTTTGTCATTTGCCTAGGGACTTTCCGTTTAGAATTTTCCTCGGAGTTCGCCATTTTTTTCTTTTTTTCTTTGTCATTTATACCACATCTTTTTTTTATATAGACAACAGTACACAAAAATAACATGGTCTTATCACCGTAGGCCATGTATGATGATTCATCGAATCCTAGTTACAGTTTTAAAACTTGATCTCCTAAGGATCTTTCAACATGTTCAAGTAAATATTGGTAATATTTTGCCCATTGATTTCAGAAGTGAAGATTATTTTTAAAGTTAACAAGGGCGGGCGCCATCTGATGACAAAAGCTGACTTGACTAATCATATTCAATTTAAAAGATTTAACGAGATCAGATTTATTTAAAGTCACATTTTATGAATTATAAATGTTATAGTTTTCTAATAAGTATGTTGATGCATTAATAAAATAAGAGTGGTAATAAACATTCTCTAAAACAAGTAACTTTTAAAATAACCTTGATTCATGCGTACATATATATTATGTGACTTTTTAATGTTTACCTGAATATTTTGATCATAAATCATGGTAATAAAAGAATAATTCTATTTACAATAAAATGAACATACTTGTTCCTCAACAAGTTTTTTAATATAACTGTTATCCTATATTTGTACCATTAACAGTTGAATGTTATTATTTTTCATCTTTTCCTCAAGAAGATTTACGGGCAATATCTAGTGATGTTTGACATTTTTATCCCACAATTCAACATCTGCTTGTAATGCAATTAATAAGTTTACAATTCCAATGCCATCTGCATATATCTTTTGATATTTTGCATAATCCATAAAAAGATGTAATTGGATGGAATATTTATCACAAACAACATGTAAAGGTGACTGGTCAATTTATTGATTACACTGAGAAACATCAGCTTTGTTCTGAAGAAATATTTTCACTAAAGCTGTATGTCTTTCTATACAATGGTGACCCTCTGCCTTCTTCAAACACAGACACATCAACATTGTTCTGAATCAATATTTTAACAACATCTATATGACCTCCTCTACAAGCTTCACACAAAGGAGAAAGTCCAATACTACCACACTGACAGACATCAACATTATTCTGAATCACTATTTTAATTATATCTGTATGACCTCCACTACAAGCTTCATATAAAGTAGAATGTCCATTTATGTTACACTGAGAGACATCAACATTATTCTCAATCAATACTTTAACTATCTCTTTATGGCCTCCTCTTAAGGTTTCACACCTAGGAGAATATCCAGAATTGTCACACTGAAAGACAACACCATTATTCTCAATCAATATTTATACTGTATTTGAATGGCTTCTATTACAGGCTTTATACAAATGAGAATGTTCATTTATGTCAAACTGAGATACATTAACATTGTTCAGAATTAGTATTTTAACTATATCTGTATGGCCTCCTCTACAGCAGTATACAAAGAGCTTAACAATATGATAAATGTGGCTTTTGTACTGCTAAAACACCGCATTTTAACCAGATAACAGAAATAGAAATTTCTTTTTTTTTCTCAGAAATAATATCTTGCCTTACAACTATCTCAAACCACAACAATGACAAAACAGTATGAAACTCTAAGTGATACTTATGATCTGAACAATGTCGCGTGCGTTTACGGTGTCTCACAAATAAGTTTTGCTAAAATAATTTGACTGACGAACACCACTTTTTTACCGGAAATTAAAAAAAATGGCGTACGAGATCTACATGCACCTTGCATAGCGAAGGTCCATAATAAAAGTTCTTTGAGAAGAATGTAAAGACCCCACTTATGTCCCAGAAATTGAAAAAAAATGGCGTCTGAGTTCTACAGTTGTCATTTCCGAGATCAAAACTAAAATTTCTATGAATATGATTGAAGGACTTTATGACACTGCATAACAGTATGTCATAATGTAACCGAACACATAAACATTTTGATGCTGTATTGTTTGCATAGTTTCTACTTTTCATGTTCGAAATATTATGCATTTGTTTTAACTTTTCATTGTGAGACTGGATTCATAGGTTGGATTCCGGTTTTAGGACACCAAATTATATTTTTGTTCATCTAATCCCATTATTTCTGTTATCTTTGAAAACCTTTTTTTTGCATTTTTTTCTACTGTTTATTTGTTTTAGTCTATAATTCTCTATTCTAATATTAAGTCCCTATTACGCTTTGTAAACAAAACCGTGTTCAGATTAGCACAGTATATGTATGACACATGCGCACACACTTGCTGTTTACATTTTCGTTATTTTCATTTTTATCGCTAAGAAGTATACATTTTAGTTAATTATATAAATTTTTGATATATATTGTTTATCAAACAACAAATATATCTACTCTGTTATAAGTTTTAAAACTTATTTAGTATGAGAATACAATGTTCATACCCCATGGGATGAAACGGGAACATCCGAACATTTCTAAGGTACGTTCCTTTAAGAATCGAAACAATAAACCATGGATTAAACCTTGCTATCGCTAAGTGTAAATTGTCGACAAATGTAATGCCAACCCATGTTAAAATAAGCACACAGCACGACATAAAGGAATTATTTCTTGATTCTTTATATTTTAGCATCGAATTATAATCTTTTCCTTTTTTTCTCTATGCTTTATCCCCCATTTAGTCTGCACCTTTTGCCTTTTTATTTTCTATTTTGTAAGCCCAATCCACATCCACAACATGTAGAACAGTTTAAAAACTATGTAAGGTATACGTCAATGCCACGGCATACCAACAAGAAACACTTTTATAAAGAAGGCATCTGTAAGCAAAAATATTTTGTACTTTAATTTTCGTATATTTCTATATGAAATATGTCGGACTGGTAACAAATAAACACTAACAGTCCTACAAAAACGTGAACCTGTGTTTATGTTGTTTATATTACCGGTTTAATAGTGAACAGTTCTTTTATCGAACTGTTGATGTTCGTAGAACATTTTTATTTGTAAACACAGAGCACGACATGAAGGAAGTATCACTTGGTTCCTTATATTTTAGCATCATATTATAATTTATTCTTTATTAATTTTTCTCTATGCTTTATCCCCCTTTAGGTTGCATTTCTGTAAATATTGACAATGCATTTTCCAAAAGGAACTCCCTTTACGGCTAAAACTGTACCGCTTTACTATGAAGTTTTGAAAAAAACCATGGCCCGTATGCATAAAGCTACTCAAGTTAAGATTTTCCTTAGTAAACACTTAAGTTAAGGAAACTCCGCCCTTTTTACCTATGCATAAACAATCTTAAACTAAGTATTTCCTTAGTAAAATCTTAGTTGGTTTAAGTCACGTCCACAAAGCGTAAGTGGTATGCATAAAAAGTAAAATCACAAAAATACTGAACTCCGAGGAAAATTCAATCGGAAAGTCCCTAATCACAGGGCAAAATCAAATGACAAAACACATCAAACGAATGGACAACAACTGTCATATTCCTGACTTGGTACAGGCATTTTCAAATGTAGAAAATGGTGGATTGAACCTGGTTTTATAGCGCTAAACCTCTCACTTGTACGACAGTCTTATCAAATTCCGTTATATTTACAACGATGCGTGAACAAAACAGACATTATAAATAAAATAGTCAAAATATGGGTACAGCAGTCATCACTGTGTTACAATATCAAAAGAAACAATTATTTACAAAAAAAGCACAAAAGCATCTATCAAATTAAAAACCACATTCATTGCTTCGCGTGTCTGACGTCAGAAAATGTAAACGTCACATAAGAAAAAAGTTTGTCATTCAATGTTTATTCAAAACAATTTTATAATTTCACATGGGGAATGTTGGTATACAGGGTTAAAAAATCAAAAGTTATGTTAGAATTAATTTCAGAAATAGACCGAGATTTAAAATTGTCCAGAAGTTCTTTAGAATTTTAAAGAATCCACATATGGTAATTACCACTACGCGAGTAAAATAAATTTGTCGTTTGTCGTTCAAAGTATTTTCAAATTTATAATAGAACAATAACATAATGACATATAATAGAACAATAACATAATGACGGGATCTTTTAAAGTACAGAGTCACGTTATAAGAACCACGTAAACACAAAAAGTCGCATATACAAAACACACCAGCAAAAATGAAAGATAATACAAACACATTGACGGGATGTATAAGTACCTAGCCACGTCAAATGGATATCACAGAAAACAAACCAAACAGTAAAAGTAATATTAATAATAGAACAAAGACAAATGAAAGAACAATATTACACGTTGTTAAGATGATAAACAACGTCAGTATGCAGAATCTATACTTCAAGACCATCATGTATTATTTGTGAAGTTGATACGGAATATTTATCAACAAGGTCTTGGTACCTTCCGATGAAACAACTTAAACTAAGGACTTAAACTTAGGAAACGCCTAAGATTTCACTTAAGTCTAAGGTACCTATAGAGCTACCTTAAATTTTCAAAAATAGTTAAAAATCAGTCGAAAGTATGCTTTTTAGCAAGAACATTAATAGATTAGCTACAATTCAATTGCTTAATACTTATATCAGTAATAAAATACTAATACATCTTTTGTTTATTGCTAAATATTAACGATGATCGTAATTTTCTTAAAATCACGTATAATCAACAAATCAAGATATAACAGAGAGTAGTTATATAATGTAACTTCATTCTACCCTTATTTCTCAAACTTGTTGTTGTGTATACCGAAAAGTACTCAGTTTTTACACGCATGGAATTCATGCTATTATTTTTCTTTTGTTATCCTGCACGTGCATGTTTACACAAATAATGTTAAAAATTAAATTCTTAAAATGCACAGCGTGGTATCAATTGTAACTGTTAGTAAAAACAGTATGAAGAAAGGAAGCGATCATGCAAAACCCTGTTTTCTGTGTGTGGGGAGGAGGGGGGCATCGGTTTAATTTTAGATTATTTAGTTTTATTTTAAAGATGGAGGGCATATTTCCCTTGAATTGGTTTCACTTACAGGGACAAAATCGCAAAGTTTTAAAACCTACCCAAAAGCGGATTTAAGGGGAACAGGGACCTCCATTTTGCGGGAACAATTTGGTTGTTTATTTAGGGAACCACTGTAGCGATCCCCTCTTATGACAGTCAGTGCACCCCCCCCTTTTCCATATGAAAATTTCTAGATCCGCCACTGCTACCCAATGGAATTCGAAGTTTATATAACGTATTTATGATACGTAAACCGTATTAAATTATTTTTCATATTTCCTTATATATTCAGTGATATACTGTTGTTAACGAAAATAGTACGCTAAGATGTTGATAATACCTTACCGTAAACATATGAATCTAATAATGTGTTTTAGTGAAGATTGTAGGACTTTTGAAAAATGCCCTCGTTTATAAATGGATTCGTGAAAAATTAATCCTACCCCCCTTTTTTTTGTTGTAAAAGGGAAGAGATAAAAATGTTTATTTTAGATCGAAATAGATTTTGTATAAGAAGTTGAACGATTATAGTAAAATTCTTATTGAAAAAAAAAATGTTTTATAAAATTATTTGTAAGCAAATGCTTACAATGCTACACTGGTGCTACGCCATTGAAACCTTAATCATGTTTTGTTAAAGTTTAAGACTTATTGTTGTCTCCAAAAAATATAACATCCATTAAAGATGAATTAAAGATTAAGTAGGGGGAAGTTTTGGATTACAAATATTTTTTTCTTCCAATGCTCATCAATCGAAACGCCAACCGTTTCTCGTCTGCGCCAATTTTTCATTTGTTTCAACATTGTACCATGTAACGTATTATAGAATTGTTTTACATACCAACATCAATTTAACCCCAACTCTTAATAAAAGTATGTATTGTTCAACCAAAGTAAATAATCATAACAAACTTTTACACGACTGAGTTCCTGCGATGAGCTGATATATATCACAGTATTACGGTACTTAAAAAAAGGTTCCGATTTAAGTATTCCTTAGTTAAGTGAAGACTTAAGTAAGTTTATGCATACGACTTAGAATTTTACTAAACTAAGTGAATTCTAAGTGAAATCTAAGTTTAAGAAACAAATAAGTTAAGATGTTGTATGCTCACGGGCCCATATCCTAGAATGGAAAGTTCATATTCACTACTATTTCTTCAAAGGTCAAAATATAGGGCTGTGCGGCATATTTTCAACGTTTATATGCCCTAAACTTCTAAGAGTTTAAACTTACACTAAATTTCTTAACTACCACTACCTCGACTGTAGGGTTACCGCAGATTTTAATATAAACAATATACACATGTATATTTACTGCTAACATTCCCAAGTTATATCCCTATGAGATGCAACATAAAGATCATAACTGGGAACCAGTATGTAAACAAAATTAATTATCTATGAATATTCTCCCCAAAATAGGCGTGGTTTAAGAAACAGCTGTATTTACAAAGTGAATCCTTTTTTCTGCACTCTTTGTCTTTCATTTTCAATCTTGTAAGCTCCATCCTTACCCTCTACATGTAGAATATTTTAGAAATTATGTGAGGTATACGTCAAGGCCACAGTATCCCAACAACACATATTAATATAACGTAGTCATCTGAAAGCAAAGATATATCTTTAAAAAAAAGGATGTGTACTTACATTTTCGTACACTATGCCGGGCAAGCAAAAGCTTAACACTTACAGTCGGGTAAAAACGTCATAAACGTGTACCTGTGTTTTTGTTATTTATCAAAGCGGTTTAAAAATGTAAAAGTACTTTTTAGGAACTGTTGATGTTCCTTTTACATTTTTATTTGTGATCTATTTGAATGAAAAATTCGAGAAATCTAAATGTAACTCCATTCTGCTACAGTTGCATTGTCTAAAGGACAACTGGATTCAGTTATAAAGATTTAATAGAAAAACAAAATACATGGGGTGTCTATCCATCAAACAAATTGAATACATGCATTGCAACAACAACAACAAAAAAAACCACACCCAAAAAATAGCAAAGGAACAGCTCTTTTATTGGCGTTCTTCATTTCAAAATCACAGTGATGCATTCAACACTGAGCTGCAAAACTCTGACCTCACTGTAAATTTAAAACGGCCTCTAGACAATTTGAAAATTTAACATGACGTGATATATGAGTTCTTATATCAAACACATTTTGATAAAAAGTAAAATCACAAAAATACTTAACTCTGAGGAAAATTCAAAAAGGAAAGCCCTTAATCAAATGGCAAAATCAAAATCTCAAACACATCAAACGAATGGATAACAGCTGTCATATTCCTGACTTGGTACAAGCATTTTCTTATGTAGAAAATGGTAGATTAAACCTGGTTTTAAATTTCTTTTTGCGTCATGCAAATATTAGATTGTTTTTAATGACACAATTGAAGATAAAATAAATTATGCGAGATCGAATTTCTACAATACATAGATATAGATTTGATGCGTGGAATGAACTTATTATTCTGGCACTGTATTTATGATTAACGGTATCATAATGACAAAAGAATGTAAAATAACCCCAGGTAATGCTAACCGATAGATAATGGATTGATAATTACATGGTATGTCGCGATAGTGCTTGCAAGTAATAATCATAGGGTTTTATGGAAGGCCGTCTCAATATACTCAAGGCGGTGACTAGTTTGAAATAACAAACGAATAATGGTGGGGTTCGGGTTGCTCAGTCATTAGTTTTCTATATTGCGTTTGTGAACTGTTATATAAAATTGAGAATGGAAATGGGGAATGTGTCAAAGAGACAACAACCCGATATATATATATATATATGTTTTTGACTTCTTTTGTTTTTTTTATTGCTAAGGCGTTATCAGTTAATTTTAATTCTAGACTTGTAAGTTGAGTGTCCCTTAGGTGTTTTTCGCCTATCTTTTAATAATTATTTCTATATGGTTTATTCTATATTGCAAATTCAGCGAAAACAATTGTTTAATATTACGCACATGCTCAACGGTGTATCGATACGTTTGTTGGTTAACGAAAATAGAAAACCATTATAAATTTCATTGTTGAATGGTCCGTATTAAATGTTTCATTTGCACTGATTTCTATTATGCTTATATATTTTTAAACCTCGTATATTGCGTAGACACTTACCCGTACTACATTTGAATCCCTGTAAATTCCTGAGACACTTACCCGTACTACATTTTAATCCCTGTAAATTCCTGAGACACTTACCCGTACTACATTTGAATCCCTGTAAATTCCTGAGACACTTACCCGTACTACATTTTAATCCCTGTAAATTCCTGAGACACTTACCCGTACTACATTTTAATCCCTGTAAATTCCTGAGACACTTACCCGTACTACATTTGAATCCCTGTAAATTCCTGAGACACTTACCCGTACTACATTTGAATCCCTGTAAATTCCTGAGACACTTACCCGTACTACATTTTAATCCCTGTAAATTCCTGATACACTTACCTATAAAAAAATTTGAATACCTGTATATTCTCCGGACTCTTACCCGCATTACATTTTATATCTGTAAAATCCCGAGACATTCACCGCGTTACAATTATTTTTCTGTACTTCTAGAGACACTTACCCGTAATACATTGGAATCCTGGTTCATCCCCGAGAAACTTACCCGTATTAGATGTTAATGTTGATAAATTACCGAAACTTTATCCCGTAATACATTCAAACCCTTGTAAATATCCGTTTCACGCATCCGTAGTACATGTGCATTTGAATCCCTGAAAAAAATGAGACACTTACACGTATTTCATTTGATTCCGTATAAGTTCTCGAGGGAATTACCCGTAGTACATTTTTTGTAGCTTCGTCAATGCAGAAACACACATTTCCATTCAATTATGCATCTGCATGACACGTTCGTTCTGATAAACAGTCATCAATAGTTTAGCCTTCTTTATAATCTGTAAGAAAAAAAAAGTTCGTTAAAACAAATTGAATAACATAAAAGAGGGACGAAAGATACCAGAGGGACAGTCAATCTCATAAATCGAAAACAAACTGACAACGCCATGGCCAAAAATAAAAAGACAAACAGACAAATAATAGTACAGATGACACAACATAGAAAACCAAAGACTAAGCAACACGAACCCCCCCAAAAACTGGGGGTGATCTCATGTGCTCCGAAAGGGTAAGCAGATCCTGCTCCACATGTGGCACCCGTCGTGTTGCTTATGTTATTACAATTCAAGTAAATAGTCTAATTCGGTAAGTCACATTCGTATTCATAAACCGTACCTATTGTATTGCAACATATGCGAATTTCCACTATTAATGTCTCTTCCGTGATTCTAGAAGCCAAAATATGTAGAAATACAAAATGTCAAAGTGCTAGCTGATTAGACTAAAAAGGACCCAAATAAAAAGAATGTCCAATTGGAGCCAGGAATCAGACATTTGCATGCCATTCAAGATGCCATTCAACGATTTTTCTCCTTATCCTTTTTGTATAATCATCTTTCAAATTGTTAATTCTTGACAAATAGTTCTAGAATGGTTGTCGTCACTGCGCACAATCAATTCAATGCTATAACAATAACAAACGCTGACTAAAGCAGAAATCCAATACGGAAAGCTTATTAGTAATTGAAATTTGCTATTGAAAGGAATCTTTTGTTGAGAAAACAAATCTTTTAGTGAGGACATTGATAGCTACAAAAATATATTCGAAGGAGGTATAACTTAAGGTTTTACAAGTAACAAATACAGTTTTTGCAATGGCTTTGAAAGAACTTAGAACGTTTTGGATGCCACTACTCACCAATTTTCGATTACTATTTTTGATGATGGTCTTTATCAGTGATGTTGTTGTTATTGGTGGGAATCAGGAAATCCGATATTCTACATCTATGGTACCGGTAAGTTCAACTATTAACACATCAAGTGTTTTTCAACGTGCAGATGAGTCGATACAAGATGGTTCATTACTGAATTCGTCATACATGTTGTCAGATACTGTTTTCAAAGTACGTGGTAGCCTTGTAATAAACCCTGTACTAAACACCGGAAATCAATCTGAACTGCACCAACTGATTTCGACCATTACTTTCGATGAACGGCCACGTGATATATTTGTGAATATATTTGATCGGAATACAGATACTACGATAAGCGACATAATTAAACAATATTCAACATCGAAGCCGAAACAATATTCAACATCAAATCCGAAACAATATTCATCATCGAATCCGAAACAATATTTATCATCGAATCCGAAAACTGAAATCGAAGAGCTTGTCTTCTTGGATGAGTGTCGAAAATATAGTTCATGTGAACACGTATCAAACCTGACCTTTAAGATCTGTCACTGCGATGATTTATGCCTACTTTACAATGACTGTTGCTACAACGCTGATATCCACGATGATTCTACCGTTTCCAATGATCTTCTGTTTGATTGTTTATCACCTATAATTGTTTCGATGCCGGTTGTAAAAGGCTATCAAGTTGTGAAAACCTGTCCTGCAGATTTGAAAAATACTGAAATTGACATCAAATGTCAATCAGACGATATTTTTTCATGTGGTCCATGGGTTATAACCGATTCAAATATAGTTTTCAAAAATCGTTTCTGTGCGAAATGCAATAACGCTAGTAACTACAACACCTTTGACGTCAAATTCACAAATGCAAAAGATACTGCTAATCAAAACACTCCATCCATAGTATTGGCTGCTTTGCAGGATCTATACAAGGAAAGGGTCGATAACTCATTAGTTGTAGAGTTTATACCACCTGTTGATGCAAATCTTCGACAATGTGTTGTGACCAGGAATCCGAAAAATGAAAAGAAACATTGTTTGATCTACTACACCAGCCCTGTTCTTGTTACAAGTAATAAAGACAATGCATTTGTCAGAAATACATTTTGCATGGATCCGGAATATACTTTTTTGCTGTGTGTGGGTATGATTAATCCGTTAATAGATACTGTTGTTGATTTTTATGATGCATTTCCAATGACTGTATTATTCCAATTTCAACAGAGCTGTAAGGGCGAGGTAGGTAAAACATACTGATATATATATATCTTTTGTGTTACATCTTGTGATCCGTTTATTTTGCAATCGCCAATGGCAGTCAGCAGGGTTTAAGAACATCAGTTGTTCGACCTGCTAGTCAAATGTGTTTTATTAAAATATACCTTTTCACTCATTTGGTCTTTTGGAAAATGTTGTTTTTGCTGTATTTAGACCCCTTTACCAAGAAATTTGTTTTGCATGCACACGTATAAAAATTGCGATTTTTATCCAACGCAATCATAGGTTTGAACGTTGTTTTCAATTTAGACTTGTTTAAATTTTTTCGTTTGGGCTTGTATTATATTTGCCTTCGGGTTTATATGATCCGTTCATCCTATTTTGACTCTTTCAAAATTCAAGAGTCTATCCTAAATTTAGGTAGATTATAAGGCCTTCCAAATACCGTTTCGATTCCTAACATCACTGAAGAGACATTGATTGTCGAAACCGGATATGGTGTACAAATTTTTGCACCTCATGTTTGCGGTATACCATCTTTTCCGCAAGTTTATTGTTTTCTGTTTGGTAATTAATTAATGATAAGATCTATTTTGTTACATCTTGTGATCCGTTTATTTGGTAATCACCAATGGCAGTCAGCAGGGTATAAGAACATCAATTGTTCGACCTGCTAGTCAAATGCATTTGGTTAAAATATACTTTTTCACTCATTTGGTCTTTTGGAAAATGTTGTTTGTGCTGTATTTAGACCCCTTTACCAAGATATTTGTTTTGCATGCACACATATAAAAATTGCGGTTTTTATCCAACGCAATCATAGGTTTGTACGTTGTTTTCAATTTAGACTTGTTTATATTTTTTCGTTTTGGCTTGTATTATATTTGCCTTCGGGTTTATATGATCCGTTCATCCTATTTTGACTCTTTCAAAATTCAAGAGTCTATCCTAAATTGAGGTAAATTATATGGCCTTCCAAATACCGTTTCGATTCCTAACATCACTGAAGAGACATTGATTGTCGAAACCGGATATGGTGTACAAATTTTTGCACCTCATGTTTGCGGTATACCATCTTTTCCGCAAGTTTATTGTTTTTTGTTTGGTAATTAATTAATGATAAGATCTATTTTGTTACATCTTGTGATTCGTTTATTTGGCAATCGCCAATGGCAGTCAGCAGGGTTTAAGAACATCAATTGTTCGACCTGCTAGTCAAATGCATTTGGTTAAAATATACTTTTTCACTCATTTGGTCTTTTTGAAAATGTTGTTTGTGCTGCATTTAGATCCCTTTACCAAGAAATTTGTTTTGCATGCACACGTATAAAAATTGCGGTTTTTATCCAACGCAATCATAGGTTTGAACGTTGTTTTCAATTTAGACTTGTATATATTTATATATATATATAGAAGTCTATAAAAAGGACCAACCGGCAAATTTACTATGTACCGGATAGAATTGACGATACTGTTCAGAAAAGGACAAAATTATATAAGTCTAGAGATTTGCACAACGATACTAATAAGATGGCATTATACGAAGGTGTTGTTATTAAATCGTATTGACAAATATTTCGGCTTTACAAATAGCCTTCTTCAGTGTCAATAATTTTAGCAATACTGATTATATGTTCAAAAATAGCTCAGTAATACAGGTACGTTTCGGTCTATTGATTTAATCCAAAGTCCTGAACATCATAATATAAAACAAAACTCAATACTCAAATATACGTAACTGTGTATATTTACATCCCAAAATGAGTGAAAAATAAAACTTAGTATTTTTTATTGATGCCGTTTGGATGATGTACATTTAGTTTCTTTATCCAAAAGCTTTCCCGAACCTGTCGCTGGGCATCACTCCAGTGAATGTTCTGTTCAATCACTAGGATCTTCATGCGGTTAAAGTCATCAAGTTTGTGACCAGACTGTCTGAAATGCTGAGAAACTGGGAGAAGTGGCTTCTTAGAGATATCACTCCTTTGGCCATTGAGGCGTTTGTGGAAAGACTGCTTTGACTCACCAACATATTAGAGGCCACAAACCGAACATTCTAAAATGTAAATAACATTCATACTTTTGCAGTTAACATTGCAAAATATCCTATAGTTTTTTTCGGTTGCCTTACTGTGAAAAGTTGATGAGTGATGCATCTATAGGCAGCATTTGCACCGTTTTTCATCACACGAACGACATTCTCCAGAAGTACTTCTATTATCAGACACTTCAGCCCGCACCAGTAGGTTCCGCAGACTATTGGGTGGCCTAAAAGCTATCATGGGAGGCTCGGGAAAAATCTTGTATAGTTTGGAATTCTTTTCAACTGTTTTTCAATGCTCACGAGCGACACCGAAGCTGTTTTTGAGAGATGAGTGGTAAGTAAGAACACATGGAGTCCTTTTATTTTTCTGTTTATATTTGTATTCTAACAGTTTACTCCTTGGAATAGTTTCCGCTTTCTGAAAACCTTTTTGGATAGTTCTGTGTTTGTAGCCCCTTCTCTTCAAGCGGGTTTCGAGTTGATGTAGTTGTTTTTTAGTTGTTTCTATGTTGGAACATATTCGCTTGACTCTGAGTGCCTGACTGTACGGGATGCTCTTAGTACAAT